TAAAATTATGTGTGATTCGCATACATGTTAGTTATGTGACAACAATATTTGCCAAGTTTAATGTAAAGTCACATACCAGTGATGTATTATATATGTCGAAAAATAAATTAAATGAATAAAACCTTGAATTCCATGATTTTTAAAAAAAAAACTATACGAAAACAATAAGACTGAATTATTTAATTCAGTCAATCCAATAATTTACTAGTATATAGGTCAAATACATGAGAGTCTCATGATGAGAATGTGTCTAACATTCCGAATGTTCAATTTTTTGTCTACTCTATTTATTTATCAAATACATAAATGAACAAGGCATTTCAAAAACAAACTGAACTTTATGTTTACTCACTTTTCGATACACTTCAATCGAAATAATTCGGGATGGATAGAAAATAATACCAATTGTACTTGTATTCATTGAGTTGTATTTTACTAGACTGTTAATGGTCAACTACCAGGCTTGATAGGTTCATGTATTTCTCAAAAGGTATAATATTTTAGAGTTATACAAAAACTTTAATCATGAGTTTACTGATGTCATCAACTTACAGTTAGCCATGGTTTAATAACGAAGTGAAATTTTTTTTTCAAGGTAATTTTGAATATCAAAAGTAACAAACTGAAAAGCTTTAAACATCTTGAACAGTTATTTGAAATTCTATATTGAATGGATTAATTCTATGATGAGGTTCTAAAATTGATCACATACTCACTATGAATTAATTGCCTTCGTTTTAATCAGTTAACGATTAGATGAAATCACTGGCAACAATTATCGATTCCGGAGAAGTTGATTTCATAAGATAACAATATTCAGCTAGTTTTTGAATAAATGATTCTCTAAATGATATATACATCGTTGATCATTAAAATTTTTCGTGAATATTTAGATTGATCAGTATATTATATATAAAGAATCAATCAATTAATAAGGGGACTCATAATGATCACTTAATGATTAAATCATCCAGCCAATGATCATTAACTTTCAGGTTTCAGTTCCACCTTGACTACTTCTTTTTCAAGAAGTAGTAGCTCTCATACAAAGAAACAATATGAGCATGAACACAGTACTTGGTCGATTAATTGTCATATTTAGAAAATAAAATTGCGGATTACATCAGATTTAAGTCCTAGTAGTAATCATATCTTGTTACTGAACTTATTGGACGACAATATGTTTAGCTTACAAATACTGTTACTTTTCAGGTACAACTAAAAACCAGTAGCATGAAGAACCTTAAACCATGGGAAATAATATTCGAGGAAAATCAATAACCTGATCAATTTACAAATTTGAATAAAGTTTTAGATGTAAGATTAGGCTAGATGAAAGCTAAGAGTGGCCAAATCAAAACAAACCGGTAGGTGTCGACTACGTGGTCGGGGTCAACCAGTCGATAGTAACCGATGATTACAGACTTTCAATGATAAGGCTCAAAATCGTTTGCAATGTATCTATTCTTCGTGCTCTCCCAAATTCTAATCATCTGCATTCCTCATCACATTCATCTTTCTCTTCATAAATTTATTTCACTGAATTGTACTTGTGGAATGATTTCTTCGAGACCTAATCTCCTCTATTTCCGGTAACATTTCGACTACATCTACCAATATGGGATTTGAATTGACAAATCGATCTCTCTGTGTTGATGTGATGTGGCAACTTGAACTGATGTACGGATGTACGCGAGTTGAACGTTACAGCTTACTGACTGACTGATTTACATATCATTATATCAGTTTTGAATGAGATAGATGTGAATTCTAACAATTTATTCTTTCGTATAACTATGAAAATAAACGTTAGACCTACCTGTATTCAGTTGTTCAGTGAGAATGCGAAACTTCCAAACTATGATTGAATATTGAGTTATAAATTGTAAAACAATGTCAAACACTAGCTATTTCATTTCAAGAACAAAAATCATTCATGAATTGTCTGTAATTAAGTATTTTTACAATATTAATCATAAGCAAGTATGCAGTTGTAGCAGTGAAATTCGAATTCTACTATTTCATTACATTTGAGCTAGAATCCAATAATGATCAATTCACATATTTATATTTTCACTCCGAAAATTATTTCAAATATACCTTTTATTTTTATTTATTCATGGTATTAAAAGTGGCAGACAGACAGAGTATAAGATTACTACCATAACATTTTAGGGATCATCACAACTGTAATATGAATCGTGTATTCGTAACATCGTTAGTTGTTTGAAGTAATTAGGCGTGTCAGTTGTTATGTGAAATATTATTTGCTTATCTACGATCTCACAATTGATAAGAAAGACGAAATGGCACTTACCGTTTTTTATCTGAAATCAGGCTCATTTGTCCAATGTTACTGAAACTTTGAATGCACATACGCTAAATCATGAAATGACCAGTCACCTGACTGACCCATCGATGAATTTATTTCTTTCGTGTTGTCACTTTCTCTGTTTCTCACTTTTCCCCAACTTTAGATGATTATAACCAATCCATTATGTTACTGGAAATGGTACTTACTGTTTTTATCTGAAATCAGGCCAATTTGTCCAGTGTTACAGAAACTTTGAACACAAGTCGCTCACGACAGTGACAAGCTGTCTTTATGATCAGTTAACATGGTTTGTATTTTCCTATTGTTGATATTTAGATTAGATTTTATCCAATGTCTTTTTCAACATAGACTCTATGAACTCAGCTGGATCGGCTAGTTGACTACGGTTCAGATAATCGCTTTTAGTGAACATTTTTTTGCATAACCTTCTCAAAAATTTGTTGGTTATTATCACTCAGTAGCCTAGTGGATAGTGTGTTAAACTTTGAGGATGGGAATCATAGTGTTCTAGTTTAAATGTGAATATCAGCATTTAAATCGGTGTACATTTCGAAATGTGCCTGATGTTGTTTGTATAAAACATACATTGTAGTTTGTCAATGACAAAATACACCCATCACTTTTTCAAATCGAGACAATTCTTTTTACATTTTATCATGTATGTTCCGAATCACAGTTAAGTAGTGTTTTAAACTTTAAATTTCGTTCGCCCAGTTTTCATAGCTATTTGAGGGTGTTTTTTATCTTAACGCTTCATTAAATATCGTTTTCTTCTTGGTGTATAATAAACGCGATTCTAAAAATCTATTCAACTGACTTATTTCTTTTCAACGAATTAATCACAAAATTTAATAATAAATGTCGCTTATTTCATAAGAAAATTTATTCATCGATATTTATCTGTGAGTATAATTATGATCAAAGTAATGATAGATTTCAAGAGGTGCCTGTTCAGAATAGTAGCTTATGAAATACATTTGTCACTAAGATAAGTGATACTTTACTTGTTATAGACTGCAAAACGAAAGTTCTTTTAAGTTAATTAATATTAAGTTCAATAAATGAACGTACACTTTTGAATTTTATTAATTTCATACATATTCTTAAATATTCCGTTAATCTATCCAGTGAAGTTGTATACATGAAGAGCATGGTCCAGTTGGTTAATTATCGCAACATTGTATCGTTTTTTTTTCACAGTTCAGTAATAAATAGATAGTAAAGCAAAGACATACAGGGGGACATTAGGCATATACTTTCGTTCAATACTGTATATAATCTTGGTCTCTTGAGAAGGTTTATAGTTTTATTTGCAGTAATGTTTTCAACTAGAATTATGTTTCATATATGTCCAAGCTGTATTTGAAGTGAAACTAACAACAATTGAAATGAAAAAAACTGTCTATCTGTTTAGCTGTTTAGAAAATGATTTCAGTTATCATGTGTATTATTAAGTTCCCTGCGTAAAAATACTATTTAACAGTCAGTTTTAAGTATTCATCTCTTAATCTATTGTTATAGATCTTAACAATATCAGCTAGTTTATATACTTATAATTCTGTACAATACAATCATTCAATAGTTTAGTTGCTTTTGCAATTGTCTGAAACCAACTATCTCCTAGTTCTTCTACAAAACATTATAGTGCTGGATGACAAGCAAGAAATATTTGGCTACAACATGTTCATTGATAACTGTTTCAGATGAAATTAATGACTTCTAAATAGGTACTGAATTAAGGAGATTCTGTTTACTGATAAAGAAAGTCACATTGTCAAACAAATTGTTTCGATAATAATAGATGCGATACATATGTAGTAATTGTAGATTAAACGCTGGTTTTCTTGTGAATAATATTAAAAGAAGGAATTGATAAAATGCTTTTTCCTTGATGCTCTGTTGATAACAATCTGTTTTCCAGTCATCGTGGTAATACATTCGAGGTTAAACTGATTCCCAAGCATTTCATAGTACTTTTATGTAGTTTATTGTAAAATGTGTTTCTCTTTTTACTTGAAGTATGCAGCTGAAAGAATGAATACCACTTATGTTCTGCCGGTTAGCCGTGATTGTTATTTGTTACTATCCGAGAAGTAGAAATTCATCAGATTTCATAGTTTGGGATGTTTCAAAGGAATGAATGGTTTCTTGGTAGTGTGACCACTACCTTTCAGATGTTTTAATGTTGTGAGAACTTGAGCAGAATTTGTATTTATGTGTGTAATCAATCTCATGGAAATCAATAATGGACAGTTTTTATTATTTCTTATATGATAGTATAAAAGTTTATTTCGGACGAACATTCTCGAATACCTTAGGATTCAATCTAGCATTGACACAGATTTACTTTAGCTTGAACTTGGTTAATAGCCTACAGCGAAATATGCAGTCATATCTCCACTGGATGAATTAATTTTTAGAGAAATTTGAGAGTTTTGAAATGATTAACTCAGTCAGACCGCTAAGGTAACTAAACTTAGTTACGTAGGAATTAATCTTTACTGTTATTTGTTGTAAACCTAAAAGATATGAGTTGATGACTAGTGTGCAGTAGAACATTTTCGTAATAAACTTCATAGAGTTTACTTTCTGACACTGTCGTTATCTTCAATGCATGTGACGGGAAGATAATAATTTCTTTTAAAATAAAAGACATTTCAAGCATATGAATGATTAGTTTTGCAATAATTACAAAAACAAAACACACATATTCTTTACATTGAGTTTTTTTTAAATTCAGAAAACATCAAAAAATATATTTTTTTTAGAAAGTAATATATGTACAGTTATGTCCAGTAATAGACTCTATAATTCACTGTGTTCTGGTTGTGAATCTTTGTACTTCTTGTTATCATCATGACGATCGCCATCATTATGATCATAATCCTCGTCATCGTCATCGTCTTTCATCAAGTTTTGAATAGCTATAATTGTAAAAAATAATGAGAATTATCGTCATTAGTTAATAATAATAATAATAATAATAATAATAATAATAATAATAATAATTTACTTACTCGAATCAATAAAATGCAATGCCAACTGACCGAATTTGGCCATATTTTGTTTGACCATCTTTATTTCCTCTTTTCCAACATTTTTTTCAAGCCATCCTTGTACTACATTAGCATAATCTAAACCAGCATTAATCAATTCTTGAGTCTATATTTTGTATACATCCGTATTAGTTGATCGATTATTCAGTAATCACTTACAGCGGTGGATAAATCTGTCTCGTCTTCTTCATGATCACAATGTACAAGGCTTAGAGTTAAGCACAAGCATAAAACATGAATTAAGTGCATTCTTGTAAACTGTGAACTAATCTCTGACTGATTGATTCATGCATGCATTTATATTCAGACTGCATGATTAATTATATTATGAAATTACGATTGGTAGTTGATATCATCTTTCAAGGGCAGTGGTTGAATTTACAGCCAATCAAAGCTGTCGACACGTGGCTTTGTAAGATATACGTGTAATTGAACAAATTAAATTAATTATTTTCACAAACATTACTAAACAATTAAGATTCATTCAAAGTAAATTTTATAGTATAAAACCCTGAACATTAAAAATCTAATCCACATGACATGAATTAATAGAATTCTGGCGATTTTTGATGTAATCCATTCAGTCAAATAATCGAATACTGAATTCTTTATTAGTGTTGAGAGTTAAAAATGAAGTTCAAATCAATGAAATATACAAACTTGTAAAATTCCAATCATTACTCTACGGTTTCATAACTCAATGATAAAATATAAACTGACTAACAATAATAATGGACTGAATTAGTAGTGATTCAACGACATGATAGATAAAAGATTTTGTACACACTGAAATCATCAATTAATCATTGTTAGACCACCATTAGAAACCTGGAAGCACTGGACGACCTTCGCGTCCTGGTATGCGACTCATAAGCAGTGTGCATCCACGACTCCTACAAATTGCAGGACTCGAACCTGGGACCTTCGGTCTTGGGCACGAACTCCTTGTTTAAAACAGAATTCATGTGATAAAATGGAAGCAAAAATATTACTTCCTACCAGAAAAGTGGGAATCAAATATGATGCAAACGATTTTAGTTTGATATGCTAAAATCTTTTATCTATCAAATAAATTTTGAATGAAATAAAAAATTAAGATTTATTCGAGAAAATGACCGAGTTTCGATTAAATATAGGAACAATTTCAATGTTACAACATATGTAACCATGTGATTTTTTGTGTGGATATTGTCAACTGAAAATAATGGCAGACTTCACTTTATGAAGATGAGATAACATTTAAAATGTTTAGTGTTAACAAAACTCTTTTAAGAAAAGGTCATGCTTAGTGTATTGACTAGTTAAAACAGTTTGTTTGGTGATCCACCCGAAGAAAAATGAACTACATGTTCCTTTGATTGATAAGAAATAACAATTGTTCTTTTCTGTTTTTTTTTAAAAATTGAAGTGAATACGATTTCCTTCCTTCTACAAATTCGTTAGAATGACACAATTAAAATTCCTTAAACTGTTGCCTTGTACACAGACCTAAATTGATGAATGCTGAAAGAGTGTATATTATTCAGTACCCAGCACAAGTTTCAACAGTGAATTAGAATCAACAAATCCTTTCAGTGAAATGAAAGTCAACTACAAGAAACTATCAAGGTATAATATAAGATTAGAAAAATTTACCTAAGAGTATCAGTGTATAGAAACTACATGCAAGGTATTGATTGCTCAAACTCGGTCTAGTTCACATCACAATTAAAATTTTAGGAGTGATTTGATGAGTAATTATCCAAAGTACATTTTAATGTTTGTGTATAAGTAAAGCTGTTTAATATCAGGTATTTTCTTCCATGACAACAGTTGAACGTAACCAGATACCTGAGTGTTACACTTCAAGAAAGGTTAATTTAGTAAGTGGTTGGTTAAGGAACGATTTAAAATAGGCATCACTTCGTTTGTATGAAATGTTAACTTTAGAACAGTTCTAATGCTTACTTTAAAACTTTGAAATATCTTGACAGTAGGATAATGTGGCAAGTTAGGAATTTCAAGCACTATCTGTTTTGCATATAGATTTTGACTTAGAAATGAAATAATAACAAACTATAATTATGTTGATCTCGCAGTAAATATGGACTTATTGATTTTCATCAGTTAATTTAATACGTGGTATCGCCATCCATCATTGAAATTCATGTTGGTGAGATAAATGTATTTGAATATTACTTAATGACAATGGAAGTGTCAATAACTCTCTACTTAACCGAAACAGGAAAGCTATCAAAATTAACATCTATGTGGAACATAAAGGTAGTAACACGTATTCCGTAAGGTCTTTTATTATGTATCATAAACAGGGTGATATATTAGGATTCATTGTCGAGTGTTCTGCATTTGGGAGTTATGAAGTTCTTTCGATCATTTACGAAGAATATATTAGATTAATGACTTTGTCAGAATAGATTTTAGACATCGCATTCCCTGACCGGTCTGATTTTTAGTGAATCTAATGTACAATTTTTTTGTTAAGCTTAAAGTAAGTTGTTTGCAGTTAACATTACAAGTCTACTACTCCACTCTACAGCGGTTACTAAGTTTTTTATGATTCAAGAGTTTTGTCAGAAGATAATGTAACACAATGTGTCTTGAATATTATCTCTTAATTTTAATCGTTAATTAGTCAATCGAAGAGTGATGTGGAAATATGTTCATCGAAAATAGTTTATAGTTTCTTTTCGTTTATAAAATATTTTAATAACTAAACTCCAGTCAGATGATAATAATAGTATAACAATATTTTAAACTTGATACACTACTTCAATTAAGATCTGTATTTCATTACTGAATTTAAAAGGAGTGAGTCTTACCTAGAAGTATCGAATGTAAACACAAACATTAGAAAGCGGTTCACTGGTAAACAAACTACTAATGGTACATTAGTAGTTTGTAAATAACTTCGACGAACAAGTTAGTAGTCAGCTCAACCAAATACACATTGGATTGATATGAAATGAAATAAAGTTTAAGTTAAGAAGGTATGATGAGGAAAATTTTATTTATCTACAATTATTTAAGATAATTGCACAAAACGTTTGAGCAGATTCTTTATTTTCAGTTAGACTTATGGAGATTTGTTTTTTTAGACATTTTAAATCATCAATCAATCGTTGTTAGACCACTATTAGAAACCTGGAAGCACTGGACAACCTTCTCGTCCTGGTATGGGACGCATCAGCAGAGCGCACCTGCGACTCCTGCACCTCGCAAAATTCGAACCCGGGACCTTCGGTATTGTACGCGAATGCCTAAACTTTGGACCATTGGGCAGGCGTCGAACGGTGTTAATGTCTAACTCTGAATGATCTAGGGATTTTGTGCGACCGCACCCATATGTCTTTGGTAGTTATTACCTACTTCATAAATATAAATGCTCTATAAAATGATGAGTTTCGATTATATTGTGAAAACTACTTAATGCCAAGGATAGTTTTGTACAAAACAAGGTTTTAGGAAAAAGATTAGTCTGATTACCTGAAAATATTTTTTGCACATCTAGTTATTATTATTCATACGATGATTATCAGTAGCTTAATTACTTGACAAGCGTTATCTCCATAATCGTAGAGATAAATAAGGGTTATTTTTAAATTATCTAATTGTTTTATGAATTATCAATCATCCTTTTTCTCATGAATATTTTCGGAATACTTTAGAAAAATGTTAAAGTATAGAAAGCTGCTTCATGAGTGATATGACTGAAAGTCTTTGAAATGTCTGGATTAAAGATGTGATTTTAAGTACGTTAGTTTGGTCAAACTGTACAGAAAATTAGTTTTCATGTCCTTACTGTTTATTAGAATACAATTTGAAATGGTTTGCAATTATTGATATTATTGACTGAAAATTAATCAACACTTGGTTGATATATGGGGCATCAACTCTGAGATGCAGGTACATGCAGATAACGCATCCCAGTTAGAACGAAATGTGCTTTATAGACCCTAATGTCAGCCTTATTCCATATGTTTATTAGAATCGTTACACAAAAAAGTGACTTGTTTAATCTCACATTCGAAAAACCTCCATTAATATTTGGAAAACATACTTGTCAATTCGTTAGAATAATGGTCGTAACTATCAGGTGATTATTGAAAATTTGACTTACAGTTATTATAACAGATATTATACATGAGAAACTGCAGCATCTTAAAGCATCCCTAATGTTTTTATTCAACGAATAGATTGCTTTACAACTTACTTTGAGATCTTAATGAAAGTGAATAGTTTATGTTGCTCATTATAAAATTGTGCCCTTAAAAGTATACATTCTTGTTGGGGGGGTTAGATCCCCAGAACTCACTTGATAAAGCTCCTTATTTCGGATTTTATGTGTCCGATCATGGGCTAATCAGTTAACCTTGAGATTACGTTTCCCACCCGGAAAATCCTTGTCTGTTAGTGGTTGATGTAATAGTTTAGCACGCTATTTTTGTGATTCTCCCAAGGACTTATCTAGGTGCTTGTAGAATACACTTTCATATCAAGACTTTTATTGAGTGTGGCGTTGGGACGCTCGGATAAGAGTAGCCTATCGTGTCACTGGATCATTTGTTTTCGCTCTCGTAACAGTTCAAGCATATCAACTGACGAGCATAAGACTTCTATCTTATTATAAAATATATTAATTGGTTAATTCTGTAGTGCCATTCTAAGGCACAGATTCGCAATTGATCGATCATTGAGTATTGACCAATGTTATATATGTCAAGTCATCATTTGTGTTGATAAAATCCCATCTATCAAGTTACAATATGGTGTTATTGATCTATGTGGATCGATCAATAAAATTCTACCAGCCCTTATAGGATACTGACATTCACGGTTACTCAGTGATAGATATCCAAAGAAAGGATTGAGATGAAAATTGTTGGAGATGTTAGATCCCCAGAACTCGCTCGAAAAATATCTTTATTTTGGATTTATTTCATGGACTAATCAGTTGACCTTAAGATCACATTTCCCACCTGGAAAATCCTTAGCTGTGATTGGTTACTGTATCATTTAGTGTGCTATTTTTGTGACTGTCCCAGGAACGTCTCTATAGAGTATAAATAAACGCAATTTGAGTGCTTGGATTCATTGTGTGCTGGCTGGGTAGTTTGTAGAATACAATTTGTACACTATATCAAGACTTCTTGCTGATTCAATTTTGTCGAGGGATCACAGTAGCCTATCTGGACACTGGTTCATTGTTTTGTTCTCGTGAACTCGTAATAATTTAAGCATACCTAGAGACGAGCGTAACATTTCCATGTTTTACTTTTTTAACTAGTTCAGAATGAAGAAAA